TTCCTTTTCTCTTCAAATTCACAGCCGATTGAATTTGCAGCCAAAGCAAAAGGAGAAATCAGGGAGGAATTGTGTCGGGATTCCAAATCCTTGAAACAATGGGGGGGGGGGGGGGTGGCGACATTGTAGTAAACATACAAGATTTCATAATCCTCGCGAATAATGTAAAATGGCGAAATGCTTGTCACCACAAAAGACTTCATAATGCTCGGAATGAAACAAGTTTTCATAATCCTTAGAATGAACAGTGTGGCGTGAGGAACTGCAGAAACACACAAAAAGAGTTTACCCTACAGGCGAGAAAGTGGAGGTGCAAAGTAACTTAATTTGCATCTATACATGCCTAGCCTCAATGATATTTGTTGAGAAAAGCCAGTTCATCTGGATGTTTCGCTTTAAACCCTTCATGCGATTTCTTTTACTCAAATACCAACTGCGTCTGTACGCGTACGCATGTTATCACTCTGCTGGATGAAATGAGAGTCAGCTATAACGAATTACATAAAAGCATGGTTCACGATAATTCTGAGGTACCCGTTTTTATTCGAAAAGCGAACGTGTAGGTTGGAAATTCTTCATCGGTACTGATGAAAACGAGAGAAATCGCCAGTCTCGCAAAAAATAGCTTTTGAAAGTAGTGATAATAGAGGCTGGACGAAATTACCTTAACGGGAATGACATGGAAGGGGTATGAGGACGAGATTTCAGTCGTTGCAATTGCGCAAAGAGCTGACTACATCAAGCCAGAACTGTTCACAGCTGCCTTTCACTGGGTCGTGACAACTTGTTTGAACTTTCTAAAGTGGTTCCCTTGCGATTCGGTGCACCCTCCGATGCCGGTGAAATTCGTCCGAGGATAAACACTGTGCAATCTCTGAGCTTTTAAAACTCACTAACTGGGCCGTTTTCCGACCTATTAGCGCCAGATATGGTATACGACCCAATTCATCTTAAGAAGAAGTCTCAGAAACCATTTTTATCGTGAGCTGTGCATTCGAGCAAAGTGGGGAAATATGGTAATGCTAATAATGTCCGCATACACATACGAGACATTAGCGGAGAACAAATTATAAAAAAATCAAATACCACTGTTCAATAACAAACTGGAAATTAGTATGGATGTTACTTTACCATAATTTATGCACTACCTAAACTTCATAAGAACCCGACTGACTCCAAATTTATAACTGGGGCTAAGAACTATAATCTTAAACCTCTGGCAAGAGAACTACACCATATCTTTGCTCATATCAAAACCCATTCCATTAACTTTATAAATCAAGTTAAGAAATACAATAACGCAATAAAAATTTATTAGGTTATTAAAAAATATATATATAAATGTTAGTCTAGAGATAAGTAATACAAAATGTAATAACTTAAAAATATGCAGAGCAGATTTCGTAGATGTTTTTTAGCTCACAACAGAGCCTTATTCTTGATGGTAAAAGAGAATTATTAAATATGTGTCAATAATGCAAATTAATCGATGATAGCTAGATAAAACTTATGGACATAAAGTTTTTCATACAGCAGGAGACAATAGGAAAAGGGTAATTATAGATTCTACACCATCAGAATGTTTGGTGACACCGTGTTCAAACCAAGGAAAGGATCCCCTCAATAAATCCCATCCCACTATCGGCAGATCTTACATTGTCTTCATTAGATTACAGTTAAGCAAAATTAAACAGATTGCACAGTAATAGGGTGTTCGTTATATATAGATACATGGATGACGTTCGTTATTTATTCGTAATTTAGAAGAGTATAAATCAAAAAAAGATTTGGTAAAACCTATGGAGACTCGTTGGAGATCTAAAAAAAGTTCACGTATCGGATACAAGAAGTTATTATCTCGATCTCAGTATTTGCATAATAACTCACAAAATAATTATCATTGTATATGACAGAATGGACAACTTCGACTTCATTTGATCATATACCAATATTGAAGGCCTAATATCGCTGAACAAAACAAGGTGTCGGTCATCAACATATACCGAGACTCTCAGTGTAGCTGGTACGGGTACTTTAATGCAAAACTTCACTACAAACATTAAAGAAATGATGGAACAATTGGTTCAAAACGAATGTACAGAAGCGTTTGTTATTGCCGATATTGAAAAATGCATGTTTTTAAATAAATTCATCTCTTATAAATAAGTATAAATGTAAATATATATAAATATAAATATATAATAATACTAAAATATAAAATATGTATAAATACCCCTATTGAACAAGTTCGCAAAAGGCATAACGACACTAAGACGGCTATCAGCGAGAGTATGAAGGCAATACTGAAGCGTTTCATCGCAAGTCCCGCCACCTCTTAGCGGTTTGATCATTCGCTTTCATTTCAAAGATACGACGCTTATAGTCCGTGTGCGGCGGGTCGTTGCTCTTGATGACGACCGACTTGTCAAAAAAAAAAGAAAAGGTCGTTCTCTCACGGGTAGGGGGGATTGGGAAGCCTTGATACGATCGGAGCAACTTAGCTCAACTCCTTAACGAACAGGGAAGATCCAGGGAAGATCTTGCACGATGACTGCGCACCACATGATGACGATTTTCTTCACACCGTGTCCCAATCGACAAATCGCTTCTCCTAACCTTCAGTAGGAAGAAGTCTTGTAGGAACTCTAGTGCCCACAGATGAGAAGTGGATTTTCTACGACAGCAACAAGAAGGTCACTGACTCTTTCCTGTGTCTTCTAAAAAGAGCAAACTCGCTCTTGCAGCCTAACCCATACAGCACCCATATAAGGTTCTGTGACGCTGCTTCTAAGATCGAAGGTAATGCTATACCACAAGTTACTCCTTGGAGACAGTCACGGATATCATCTGCAGTAGTAAACTTCAGGAACTCGTTAATGCAATCGAAGAAATGCGACCAAGTAGAGTTTCTCTCCATCATCAGCACAAAAGCGCTCGGCCTCACTTAGCAAAGACCACACATACCAGGTTGCAGAAAATTGGCTGCAAAACCGTTCCCTACTCTATCTATTTCCCGGACCTCATGTGTTCCGACTATTACTTTTTTGGGCTTTTCGAGCGGTCCTAGTCGAGAAAAGTCCCATCTTAGGGATCTCGAAAAAGTCTTGGCTGATTTCAACTCATACTCTTCTTCATCTTCGGGGGAAGAGAACAGCTTATCAGTTCCTTCGTAGGATGACTCGCTGGATGAATGTCATAGATAATAATTGTGACTATATAGTTCACTGATACAGGGTTTGAGTAAAATAGTGAATGAGTCGAAAGGTGCATATAGCCGTCTCAAAGCGCATCAACATAATGCGCTAGGGCAAAGCAGTTGACGCTCAGGAGAACTGCGGTTTTGACCAACCGCATTTATTGAAAGCATTCGGAGTAGGTTAACAGCACCGCTTTCTATGCATTAGGAGAGAACGTAGAAAAGTAATGTCTTATGGTTTGGAACAGTTTGCACTAGTTAGTAAGAGCAAGTACGAGCGCAGATGCCTGCCTTGCACCTTAATGAAGACTGCCAACTCACGGAGTACGGCTTTTGAAGCCCAACAATTGGGATACCATGCTCGCTATATCCGGATATTTCCCAGCTTGGTCACAACATCCACCCTTCTCGCGAAGGTATGCCTGATTATAATGAAAAGAATCAGTATTATATATTATTCCAGCGCTCCTTTCCTCAATTCAGTGAAAAACTCGCGATCGTTTCTGAGAACTAGTAACTTTGAAATCGCGAAGACCCCCTTCAAATCTTCGAGGCTCCACAGGGAGTAAAAGCGCTGATTTGTGCATTAGCTGAACTCTCCAATACGATTCTGAAAAGAATCGTATTGGCGATTCCAGTCGAATGATGCATCCCAAAAACGGGACTGATCGACTTTCTCTCATCCTCACTCTCACTTTCCGTGGAACTGCCAGGACCCCCACCGTTTTTCTCGTTTTCCGTTACCCAACATTAAATCGGACAGCATAAGCCTATAAGATCCATTATAATCAGCGAACTGGAAGTGATGGCGACACTGAACATTAGGAAGTCACCTTGTTAACATTGCGGTGTTTCTTTATGTGGACTCTCGGAGAACGTTTCAATTCTGTTTCCAGTTTACCAGAACTTCCGCGAAGTGAGCCTTCTTCCCTCAATCGGGTACTCAACAGTTCGCTCACCTTTTCAGGAACTAAGTCGAGCAGTTTTGTAGAATTTCCTGAATACTCGAAATGCGACTTTCAACGCAAACACTTGATCCCAGATCTGAAAGATGCCAAGCTGTATTATCCTCGACGAAAAGTAGGATGTTGACTGAGCGGAATCATCCTATGAGACCTAATCAGATATATGAAGGAATATTCATGAAACTGGAATCCACTTCTGAATATAAACACCTCGCTTTCCAAGATCATTCATATAGAATTATTCAAGCAGTAGATACTTTGCCGATATGAACGTCGGCCGAGCATTTCTATGAACTTCACCTGTTGCACGAAATCGGGTAAAAAGGGCATGCTCAAAGAACCCAAGTCTGTGTAGTCAAGCCTGATAATAATAGATGCTCTAACTTCATTATTTTCTAACTGTTAGAAGGACGAACTATATTCACAAAATATCAGAATTGAACATAACGGCGCAATTCTTTGACTCATTCAATCATTCTCACATCTCTTCTGCTTACGTCGCAGTTCATGGTCAACGAGATTACTAACCATATCTGTGCTCATTAGATGAACGGCTGGAACGATTTCGTGCTAGATACGATCACGTAAACAAAACGCTGCGGTCAGATGCAGTAATCTAATTAAGGAAGTAAACTTCCTGGAAGAATGATGATCATCGTCTCCGTTAACCTTCACAGTTAAACCGAAATGCTCTGCGCGCTAGATGTCTTCCGCGTTGCGAAAATAATGTGTAAAACCTGTGACGCAAGCGAAAACTGAAAAACGCGAGGCAAGGTTGGCACAGATTTGACTCCCATATAAAACCGCAAACGCTGGGCTAATGGACACCATCAGTCGACATGGACCTCGAGTTTCAGCAGCGCTGCAAAGCCTACCGTTTCGTAGCCTATTCGGCGGTCGCATTCTCGGTCGTGGCGATTCTTGGTGCTGCCACCACACTGCCAATGGTGTACAACTACGTGCACCATGTGCAACGCACTATGCACTCGGAGCTTAACTACTGCCGTGTGAGGTTTTTTCACGTTTTGCTCTCTGTCCCTTAGTTCTTTTTACTATGCATTTTCAGACTTCTGCACGTGACATCTGGTCCGAAGTTAGCACTATGAAGGCTCCCTCCAATCGTACCGCCCGTCAGGCATACGGCAACGATTGCACTCGCTGCTGCTCCGGTGGAGCTGCTGGACCTGCCGGCCAGCCAGGAAACGCAGGACGACCAGGAAACCCTGGAGCACCCGGAGCCCCAGGAAACCCAGGAAGACCACCAACACAGCCATGCCCACAGTATACTCCTCCTCCATGCAGGCCCTGCCCAGCTGGGCCACCTGGACCACCAGGAGCCCCAGGACAGCCTGGTGATGCTGGACGTGACGGAAACCCAGGAGGGCCCGGAGCTCCAGGAGGTCCAGGCACACCCGGACCCAAGGGACCACCAGGACCCAGCGGAAACCCCGGAAGCCCAGGAGCTCCAGGTCAGCCTGGAAACCCCGCAACCTCTGTCCCTGCCACTCCCGGAGCCCCAGGACCAGCTGGCCCTCCTGGACCACGTGGTCCACCCGGACCCAATGGACAACCTGGAAACGCAGGAGCACCAGGTAATTGTGTAATATCTTTCATATCTTTCCGTATTTTGTAACACAAAAATTCAGGACAGCCTGGACCCAAGGGACCTCCTGGACCCCCTGGACAGCCTGGACCAAATGGAAACCCTGGAACTCCAGGAGACAGAGGAACACCAGGAACACCTGGAGAACGCGGAATCTGTCCCAAATACTGTGCCCTCGATGGAGGTGTCTTCTTCGAGGATGGAACTCGCCGTTAAGATATTGGGATCGTTTATTGAAAATAAATTTCTTATTCTCCAATTCTTCCAATACAGCATGCAAGTACCAATGTACACCAATTCAATACATCTCTCTGGTGTAGATCATGTATGGATGATGGAGTACCAGAAGTTCAGCTCTTTGATGAGGACGATGATACCCAGAAGATACAGAAATGTTCCTGGGGGATAGATGAACCAATGACCAATCCTAAAACACCCTCACATACTGAGAGCCTTTTCCGGTTTTGCCGTTGGATTTCTCCTCTTCCACATGGAGCTCCTACATCCAACGTGTTCAAGTGGCGCGATGCCACGTAATCGCCACAATGTTGAATTCCGAGCTTCATCCTATTTGGCAAGGTAGCCAACCTCAGACAAACTGACTCATGCTCCTGACTTTCGCTCTGCCAGTTGCTTCCTTGGCCAGTGTTTTGCTTCCTGGAAGAATACCAAAGGGCACAGGTATGACTTACTGGAAATTCCTAACCTGTGCAGTGATAAGAACCGTTCTACGTTTGCCATCTATACTTCCACGGTTGATCGACATCCTTCATGAACATGATCTTTCAGCTCGCCTCAGCTCAGATTTTGTTTTGACCTTCGAAAAAATATTGGGAGTAAATATCCACAATCAGATACAAAGGCCACTTCCAAATCGCATGGCATGTAATGCACCAGCTTCTCTGAAGCCATTTGCCACTTGCCAGTAATAGTTATCGACTTTACTCTCTCTTTGAACTATTGATGATTTATTGCATACCAGCAGAGTAAAACATCTTCTGTTAAATGATCAAAGGTGTCAGTAAAGGGTCAAGAGCGTCACTGAAGAAAAAAAGAACTAGTGGGAAGTGTAAGTGTTAGTGAGTGGATAAAATCCTGGAAGAATCTCCGATCATTTCCAAATATGAGGAAAGATAAGCCGGTGTGGAAGTTTCATGTAGCTGAACCATTCGGAAGAAATAGTTCTCCCATAGCCAGTCGAATTACCGGAACATGGAATAGTATTATACTTGAAGTATCGTAGGGCACAGGTAGTGTTCAAGCTGCCACGCGGGACTTTCTTCTTCTGTTCCAAACACAGTATGGTNGTACGCCTTTATGAGTTACGGACAATAACTACCCACTTACAGTCTGTCACTGTGACTTGTGTGGAGAAAGAGCAGTCCTCTGATTTCTTCAACTAGGCAAACT